AAGCAAACTAAATGGCAACACCTGGACAGCATTTGTGAACAAATTACATGAAATAACAAATGTACATGATAATTCAGAATTCAGTAGTATACAAACAAAAATGAAATTACAGAAAACCTATATTGATAACAAGTGGTTGCCAGCACTCCAAAAAACAGAAAATAATAAATTACGCATTTACAAGATATTTAAATCAAAATATGAATTTGAGCCATATCTAGAACTTGTAAAAAATATTAGTCATAGAACAAGTATAACCAAATTTAGAATCTCTGCTCATACACTGCCAATTGAAAGGTTAAGATACAAAGGCATGCCTTCAGAGGAAAGAATTTGTAATTTGTGTGAAGACAAGGCTATTGGTGATGAAATACATGCAGTATTGGTTTGTAAGAACCAAAGGTTAATAACTAGTCGTACACAATTTATTAATACTTTGTCATTGTATAATGATAGTCTACTAACATTATCGGAACAAAACATGTTCAAACAAATTTTAAAGTTCATTACCAACATTAGGGTACATTAAAGTTCATTACCAACAGCCTGGGAAAATTCATCAATGATATTTTAACAGAAAACAAAAATTAAACTTTTAATATTTAACATTTTTTTTTCTAACATTTATTTTATATTTCTACAGTGTTTGTTTATTTGTTATTTGTTTGTGTGTTTATAAAGTAATGTATATTGGCCATAGATTATGTATTTTCCATGCATTTTTTTGTGTCAAATAAAATATACTATACTATACTATACTATACTATACTATACTATTTCTGTGGCCATGGTGGTGTTGGAAAGACAACTCTCAAGGAAACACTTAAAAGGGTAAGGGTATTATTCTGACATGGAAGAAGGTAAGGTTATAATCCATGACATGTCATCAGTCATCACCAAGATTTATGTCATATACGAAGATAAGGTTGTAATCCATGACATGACATCAGTCATCACCATGGTTTATGTCATCGATGAAGGTAAGGTTGTAATCCCTGACATGTCATCAGTCATCACCATGATTTGTGTCATGGAAGAAGGTAAGGTTGTAATCCCTGACATAGCATCAGTCATCACCATGATTTGTGTCATGGAAGAAGGTAAGGTTGTAATCCCTGACATGGCATCAGTCATCACCATGATTTATGTCATGGAAGAAGGTGAGGTTGTAATCATTGACGTCATCAGTCACCACCATGGTTTATGCCATGGAAGAAGGTAAGGTTGTAATCACTGACATGTCATCAGTCATCACCATGGTTTATGTCATGGAAGAAGGTAAGGTTGTGATCCCTGACATGTCATCAGTCATCACCATGATTTATGTCATGGAAGAAGGTAAGGTTGTGATCCCTGATATGATGTCATCAGTCATCACCATGGTTTATGTCATGGAAGAAGGTAAGGTTGTAATCCCTGACGTCATCAGTCACCAGCATGGTTTATGCCATGGAAGAAGGTAAGATTGTGATCCCTGATATGATGTCATCAGTCATCACCATGGTTTATGTCATGGAAGAAGGTAAGGTTGTAATCCATGACATGACATCATCAGTCATCACCATGGTTTATGTCATGGAAGAAGGTAAGTTTGTAATCCCTGACATGGCATCAGTCATCACCATGGTTTATGTCATGAGAGAAGGTAAAGTTGTAATCCCTGACATGGTATCAGTCATCACCATGGTTTATGTCACGGAAGAAGGTAAGGTTGTGATCCCTGATATGATGTCATCAGTCATCACCATGGTTTATGTCATGGAAGAAGGTAAGGTTGTAATCCCTGACGTCATCAGTCACCAGCATGGTTTATGCCATGGAAGAAGGTAAGATTGTGATCCCTGATATTATGTCATCAGTCATCACCATGGTTTATGTCATGGAAGAAGGTAAGGTTGGAATCCATGCCATGACATCATCAGTCATCACCATGGTTTATGTCATGGAAGAAGGT